AAAGGGATTCAGATTCCCCTGGAACAGGAGTTAAGGACGGTTCATATCCGCCATGGGAGTGCTGGGAGTCGAACCCTGGTCCTCTGTAAGAGCAGTCAGTGCTCTTAACATCTGAGCCATCTCTCCAGCCCCTCAGTCAGATACTTTTAATGGATGAAAACCTAAAACTTAATTTACATACACAAACAAATAATATATATATATATATATTTTTTTTTTAATTTGGTCTTTTCGAGACAGGGTCTCCCTGTAGCTCCAGCTGTCCTGGAACTCACTATGTAGACCAGACTGGCCTTGAACTCCAGAGATCCGCCTGCCTCTGCCTCCGGAGTGCTGAGAGTAAAGGCATGCGCCACCATACCCGCTGTCATATATATTTTATTGCCAGTGCAAACCTTAAAAAGACGGTGCTCATTTTCAATTATGTATTTTGTTTCTAATTTTAAAGAAGTTTTAATTTGTTATTATATTTATGCTTAAAACGGTCTTTTTATGTGTAAAACAGTCTTTTTATGTGTAAAGCAGTCAGTAGTGGCAAATACATTAATGGCTATACATATTGTGGTGATTAATCTTAATTGTCAACTTCGTGGATCTGGAATCAACTTTTGATGTGTGTCTGTGAGTGGTTTTATGGGGGTATTTCCTGGAAGGATTAACTGAAGGAGGAAGACCATGCCTAGGGTGGACAAGGCATTATGATAACAGCCTAGATCTAAAATGGTCAGAGGGAAATGCAGACGGCTTTTGCATTGCTTATCTTCCATTTTGCTGGTGTATGGCTCTACCCCATTACTGCCATCCTTCACTAACATCAGAACCCAGCTTCTTTTACGTTCGAACTTAAATTGAAGACCAGAGCCTTTCCAAGAATCCTCCAAGACTTCTGTGATACATTGAGACTTCTAGGACAGCCAGCCTCATGAATTAAGCAGCTACCAGATTATCAGTCTCTCCAGTGTCCAGCACCCATCGTTGGACGACCAAGTCCATATCGTGTAAGTCACAATTTATTATAAATATTATAATAAATCTGCTTTGCATATATATATATATATATACATGTGTATGTTCATTAAATTGGTTCTGGTTTTCTCAAGAACCTTGATAAATATACATATTCCAAAAATTAAACATTCATTGCATACAATTAATCTTTTCAACTCCTAGCTTTTATGTGAAAGTGATTAATATTTTCATTAGAAGGGTTGTAGAGAAAGAAGTACTGTTTCAAGTTTTTTATGATCTAAAATAAAAGACTAATATTCAGTGAATGGAAAAATATGAAATATAATTTAGACAATTAAATATTACAATGAAATACTTCTTAGCCTTAAAATGATTAAACTATTGATAGTAATTGTGTTATTAAAAAAACTCAGAACAATGATTAGTGAAAAATATAAGCAAACAAGTAAATAATGCATGAGTCTATTCTTCTAAAACTATGAAACTGCAAATTATTCCATGAGATCAGAAAGCAGACTAGTGGTTACCTGTTTAAATAGAGGCATGTGGACTAGAAAGAGTTATTAAAAGGAAACTTTTTGAATGGGTATATTACTGAGTTTGGTATAGCTAACCTAACTTCAAGAATAAATGCAAAGATGGCAAACTGTTATAAGTTCCTACAGTTTATCTTATGTTTATTATACCTCAATACAGTTATTAATTCTATTTTCAATTTTTATATTTTGAATGTGTGTGTGTGTGTGTGTGTGTGTGTGTGTGTGTGTGCCACAGGACACTTTTGGAGGTCAGAGGATTACTTGAAAGAGTTGGTTCTCTCCTTCCACCAGGTGGGTTCCATGTATTTGGAACTCAGGTCATCATGTTGGTCATCATGGTCAGAAAATGCCTTTATCCACTGAGCCCTCTTACCAGTTACAAAAGTTGACAGTTCTTAAATTAAAAAAAAATATTACCATCATTCCCCTAATAGCATCTCTAGTTGTTCTAATATATTAATAAGGTTAAGAGTCAGAGATCTGCTGATTTCACCTTGAGTAGATTCAATTGATTATTCAGAAATCTACAGTAAATATTTCCTTTATTTGTTACCTTTTATTCACTGTTTGCTTAGCAAAACTTATGCTATTATTCAGATAAGATAAAGATCCACATTGAAAAGTGTATTTTCAGAGATTTTTTAAGTCTTTGCAAGAGTCTTTGCTCTTCTCATTAGTCATATAATATTAAAGGAAATGAAATATTCTTTTCTCTATGAATCATCCTTTCTCTTATTTGTTAGTTTGTAAGACAGATGAATTTTTTATGAATAGGATAGACGATATTGTGACAAGGAGATGAGACAGTCCATTAAACTATTGCGTTTTAACAAGTCGTAATCTAGTTGAGATAAAAATTATAGCTAATGAAATACCTCAGGTTTTCGGGATGGGAAAATGGTTCAGTGGATGAAGTGCTTGCCACAGAAGTATCTGAGTTGAGATCTCCAGCACCCACCTATATTTTCAGTCCTGTTAAGGCAGAGGATACCTTGAGCTTGTTGGCCATCCAGTCTAACCAAATTGGTGTGACCCAGGTTCAGTGAGAGTTTCTATCTTGAAAATTAAGTAAAGAACTATAGACAAAGACACCCAACATTGACTTCTGGCTTCCACACACAGACACACACAAACACACACACACACACACACACACACACACACACACACGTGTGCCCGCGCTCGCGAAAAACCCTCATTTTATAAGGCAAATATAATGTGCTGGTCATTTATCCAATGAATGATGCTTTGATCAAGTCGTGAGTTAGAAATGTGTCCAGCTCTTTTTCTATTAAACAATCCAGGCATACTACAAATGGGTATTCAGAAATAAAGAAACTAATAAATTGATAATAACTCTATGTCCCAAAGTGATAACCTTGAACATGATTCATGTTGACATTTGAAGAAGAATGAGAACTTTATTTTAGAGCAAGAGAGAACTAAATAGTCCAGAAGAAGTTAGCAAAAGGTGACTCAGTTTTATTATTAATTCTTTTTCGTGGCTGGATTCATGTGCTATGACTATCTATAGGTAAAGAAAATGTATACATATTCCTATCTATATCCTGTCACAAATTATTTGATGTAACTTTGGACTCCTCCACATTATAATGATCAGATGATCAATATATCCAGAGGTTGTGCTAGGATCAGGGAGTATATTGCTCTTTTATAAGAAAACTGCACATGCTCAGATGGAGTTGCATGCTCCCATTCTCTGACTGGGAATTGGTGGATTGGACAATCCGAGTGAATCTGCTTCCATGGATAGCTACAGAATGAAGCTTACCCACTAACCTCTCAGGCACTTATGTTCTATTTTATAGAGTCAGACACTGATCTTCATAATGTATAATAACAAATAATCAATATAGACTTTGCCTAGATTGTCATAACTATTTGTGTTAAATCACAAGAGAATCCCCAAACCATAGTCAAAAATTCATGTTGTGTTCTAGAAATGTTAGATAAACCAATTGCAAAGAAACCAACCAATGGAGTTTTTTATAAAAATGATCAGGCTGCAAATGTAATGAAGTTGACAGAGTACTTGCCTAGTATGCATAAAGTCCTTGCCTTGACTTTCAGCACTACATAGAAAGTATCTATAACCCCACCCCTTGGGAGTTAGAGGCAGGAGAATTAGAACCTCAGGGTCATCTGCCTTGGATACATGGGGATTTAGAGGGCAGACTGGGCTACATAAAGCATTTCTAAAAAATAAAATAGAATAATGGAGCATTTATTACACATAATTGACTATGCTTAAATGTTTCTTTACATATCGTGAGGGGGCATAATAAACATATAAATACAATTTTTAATTTTTTATTAATTATTTGAGAATTTTAACACTGTATTTTGACCATATTCAGATACCCTCCCTCACCTGTATCTTCTCACTACTACCTGCCTTCATGTTCTTAATTCTTCTTCTTCTTTTTTTTTTAAGACCTATCAAGTTTAGTCTGTAAATACAATAGTTCTATTGTCAGCACCAGCTACAATGGTGCATAGTCTGTATAAAAAAATCTGCTATAAAATAATTTCTGCAGCTAGAACAGACATGTTTTGTTTTATTTTATAGTTTGAGTCTCTTACAGACTGCCATTAAGCACTTCAATAAACTTAAGTTCTAAACTTATTTGACCATTTTTTTATATTTTTGAGTATTGGTCAAGTAAATTTTGCTATACTGACCTTAAAATGTATGGCTGGCCCGCTCGTCGGTCGGAGCGCGGCTGGCGGCGCGGTGGCGGCTCGGCAAGGCGGCTGCC